AAACGACATACTATAGTAGTCGTCGAAATATTGAGAAAAAAACGACATACTATAGTATGTATTTCGGCGACTATGTCGTGCAAAATATTGAGAAAAACGACATACTATAGTCTGTGGTCGAAAAATTGAAAAAAATGACATACTATAGTTTGTCGTCGAAAATTGAAAAAAACGACATACTGTAGTATGTCGTCCGAAATATTGAGAAAAAACGACATACTATAGTATCGTCCGAAAAATTGAAAAAAACGACATACTATAGTATGTCGTATATAGTATACTATGTCCAAATATTGAAAAAAACGACATACTATAGTATGTCGTCGAAATATTGAGAAAAAACGACATACTATATGTGGTCGAAAAATTGAAAAAAATGACATACTATTGTATGTCGTCCGAAACATTGAAAAAAACGACATACTATACTATGGCGTTTTGAAAAATTGAAAAAACGACATATTATACTATGTCTCGAAAAATTGAAAAAAACGACATACTATACTATGTCGTTCGAAAAATTGAAAAAAACGACATTATATTATGTCGTCGAAAAATTTAAAAAACGACATACTATATAGTATGTCTTCCGAAATATTGAGAAACAACGACATACTGTGGTCGAAAAATTGAAAAAACGACATACTATACTATGTCGTCGAAAATTGAAAAAAACGACATACTATACTATGTCGTTTGAAAAATTGAAAAAAACATATTATACTATGTCGTCGAAAAATTGAAAAAAAAACGACATACTTTAGTATGTCGTCCGAAATATTGAGAAAAAACGACATACTGTGGACGAAAAATTGAAAAAAAACGACATACTATACAATGTCGTCCGAAATATTGAGAAAAAACTACGTCGTCCGAAAAAATTGTAAAAAATGACATACTATACTATGTCGTCGAAATATTGAAAAAAACGACATACTATAGTATGTCGTCGAAAAATTTAAAAAACGACATACTATATACTATGACGTGCAAAATATTGAGAAAAAACGACATACTAGTATGTGGTCGAAAAATTGAAAAAAATGACATACTATAGTTTGTCGTCGAAAATGAAAAAAACGACATGTACTATGTCTTCGAAAAATTGAAAAAAACGACATAGTATAGTATGTCGTTCGAAATATTGAGAAAAAACGACATGTCGTCCGAAATATTGAAAAAAACAACATACTATAGTATGTCGTCGAAATATTGAAAAAAACGACGAAGTAAGTCGTCCGAAAAATTGAAAAAAACGATATACTATAGTATGTCGTCCGAAAAATTGAAAAAAAGACATACTATACTATGTCGTCGAAAATGGAAAAAAACGACATACTTGGTCGAAAAATTGAAAAAAAACAACATACTATAGTATGTCGTCGAAATATTGAGAAAAAACTATACCATAGTCGGACGACTATGTCGTGCAAAATATTGAGAAAAAACGACATACTATATATGTCGTGGTCGAAAAATTGAAAAAAATTTTTGTCAAATATTTGTCGTCGAAAAATTGAAAAAAACGACATACTATTTTGTCGTCCAAAATATTGAGAAAAAACGACATACTATATAGTATGTCGTCCGAAATATTGAAAAAAATGACATACTATAGTATGTCGTCCGAAATATTGAAAAAATGACATACTATACTATGTCGTCCGAAATTGAAAAAAAACGACATACTATACTATGTCGTATATAGTATACTATGTCCGAAATATTAAAAAAAAAACGACATACTAGTATGTCGTCGAAATATTGAAAAAAACGACATACTATAGTATGGACGTATGTCGCAAAATATTGAGAAAAAACGACATACTATAGTCTGTGGTCGAAAAATTGAAAAAAATGACATACTATAGTTTGTCGTCGAAAAATTGAAAAAACGACATACTATAGTATGTCGTTTGAAAAATGGAAAAAAACGACATGTTATACTATGTCTTCGAAAAATTGAAAAAACGACATACTATACTATGTCGTCCGAAATATTGAGAAAAAACGACATGTCGTCCGAAATATTGAAAAAACAACATACTATAGTATGTCGTCGAAATATTGAGAAAAAACGACGAAGTAAGTCGTCCGAAAAATTGAAAAAAACGATATACTATAGTATGTCGTCCGAAATATTGAAAAAAATGACATACTATACTATGTCGTTCGAAAAATGGAAAAAAAAAACGACATACTATATACTTTGTCGTATATAGTATACTATGTCCGAAATATTGAAAAAAACGACATACTATAGTAGGTCGTCGAAATATTGAGAAAAAACGACATACTATAGTATGTATTTCGGACGACTATGTCGTGCAAAATATTGAGAAAAAACGACATACTATAGTCTGTGGTCGAAAAATTGAAAAAAATGACATACTATAGTATGTCGTCCGAAATATTGAAAAAAATGACATATACTATACTATGTCGTCCGAAATATTGAAAAAAACGACATACTATATACTATGTCGTATATAGTATACTATGTCCGAAATATTAAAAAAAACGACATACTAGTATGTCGTCGAAATATTGAGAAAAAACGACATACTATAGTATGTATTTCGGACGACTATGTCGTGCAAAATATTGAGAAAAAACGACATACTATAGTCTGTGGTCGAAAAATTGAAAAAAATGACATACTATAGTTGTCGTCGAAAAATTGAAAAAAAACGACATACTATACTATGTCGTTTGAAAAATGGAAAAAAACGACATGTTATACTATGTCTTCGAAAAATTGAAAAAAACGACATACTATACTATGTCGTCCGAAATATTGAGAAAAAACGACATGTCGTCCGAAATATTGAAAAAACAACATACTATAGTATGTCGTCGAAATATTGAGAAAAAACGACGAAGTAAGTCGTCCGAAAAATTGAAAAAAATGACATACTATACTATGTCGTTCGAAAAATGGAAAAAAACGACATACTATGTCGTCGAAAAATGAAAAAAACAACATACTATAGTATGTCGTCGAAATATTGAGAAAAAACGACATACCATAGTATGTATTTCGGACGACTATGTCGTGCAAAATATTGAGAAAAACGACATACTATATATAGTCTGTGGTCGAAAAATTGAAAAAAATTTTTGTCCGAAATATTTGTCGTCGAAAAATTGAAAAAAACGACATACTATAGTTTGTCGTCCAAAATATTGAGAAAAAACGACATACTATATAGTATGTCGTCCGAAATATTGAAAAAAATGACATACTATACTATGTCGTTCGAAAAATGGAAAAAAACGACATACTATGTCGTCG